GAAGGGAACGGGGAGAGAGGATGAGGCCAAGTCATCAGAAGGAACAAGGAAGCTCTGTATATCCTTATGAGGACTAATCTCCAAGACAGAGTAGCAAGTTAAAAAATCACAAGGCACAACATCTGTGCACCTAGACAGTATTTGTTTAAAATGGAAGCATATATGGATAAAATGTTTGTACATAGAGAAAACCTGGAAGGATGTGCAGGAAATAGGTGGGATGGGGTGGCTGGGACTAAATAGGGAGGGAAGGGATTTTCCCATGCACCCTTTTCTACCTATTGAATTTTGAATCATGGAAAAGAAATACCTGTTTTTAAAAAGAAAATAAATCATATTTGAAATTTTAAAAGTTTCCACGTTTTGTTTTGTTTTTTTGTTCTAAGTCAGCTTTGATTAACATATCAATGGCTTAATTCTCCAACCTGTTTGGAATTTGACTCAGATGAAATTAGGTGGCTTAGCCACACTGCAAGTCTAACTCTGAGAAAGTCTTCCTGCATCACTTGCCTTTTGGCATCTTCAATTTTAGTGGGAAGGTAACCTCTGTGAAATTCTAGGCTTAGACTTTTATATGGCATGGTAGTTATAGTATGGCTATGAATTATCTGAGTTTTCCGATAGCACTAATTGGTTTCTTAAAAGTGAGGTAGTTGGTTTTCATACAAAGAATGTCACTGTGCTATATCCCATCATTTCACAGCATTGGAGACCAACAGTGAAGCCTTCAGTACCTGCTTGTCTGAAAGACAGCAGAGCTCTGCAGACAGGCTGCCTGGCCTCCAACCCAGCTCCACTACCTACAGGCAAATCACTCAGACTCCCTGGCCGTAAGTTGTCACCTGTGTAATGAGAATACTCATGATATCAATCTCAGAGGGCCACCAGCAGTCAGAAAAAGAAGGGCCTATTCCACACAAGAAACAAAAGAAAAAATAGGTAAACTGGATTTCATTAAAATTAAATACCTTTATGTACCAAATTACTCTATCAAGAAAGTGAAAAGACAATCCCCAGAATGGAAGAAAATATTTGCAACATCAATATCTGATAAGAGTCTAGTGTCCATAATAAATCAAGAATTGTTGCTGGGCAGGGTGACACATGCCTGTAATCCCAGCTACTCAGAAGACTGAGGTGGGAGAATGACTTGAGCAGAGGAGTTTGAGACCAGCCTGAGCAATGTAGCAAGATCCCGTCTTACAATTTTTTTAAAGTTTTAAATTTAAAAAAACTCTTACCATTGAACAGCAAAAAGACAACTCAATTATAGAATGGAGGAAAAGACTTGAATAGACATGTCTGAAGAAGATATTCAAATGGCCAACAAGCACATAAAGATGGCTGACACCATTAGTCATAAGGAAAATGCAAATCCAAACGATGAAGAAATACTACTGCACATCCATTAGTATGGCTAAAATTAAGAAAAAGAAACAGAAAGTAATAAATGTCAGTGAGGATGTGGAGAAACTGGAACTCTCATCTATTGCTGCTAGAATGTAAAATGAATGGTACAGCTGATGTGAAAAAACAGTGTGGCAGTTCCTTGAAATTTAAAAGTAGAATTACCCTACGACTGAGCAATTTCACTTCTGGATATATTCCTAAAAG